AGCAATGGATTTTTTAAAATGTGTTATTTTTATACAATGGAGTACTACTCAGCTATAAAGATAAACCTAAGCTTTTTATAGGTAAATGGCTGTGACTAGAGACCATACTCACAAGTGAAGTAAGTCAGAATCACATATGTAAACATCATCTTGTCTCCCTAGTGTAAAAAACTGAAAGAGTAAATAAGATCCAAAAGGTATAATAGGTATTTTGAAAGGCGAAGAAACTGCACAAAAAGAAAGACAATGGGGATGGGAGAAAGCAGAAAAGAGGAAAGGGAGAAAAATACACACACAAACATACACACACATATACGCACAATATAGCTAAGATAATTGTAGTACTAATTCCTATTACTTCATTGAAAGGAACAGTTAGTGCTTATATTGTTTCATCCATTTGGCATACCTATATCTGCCAATCAGAGAGGAACTACTTGAAGATAACAATATGCACTATAGTAACTATTGTTAATTTCTTACCTTTTTTTTTTTTTGCATTTGGTACAGGAGATACAGGGATAGAGGGTATACAGGGTCTCACTATGTAGATAGAACTCACAGTGATCCTCCTATTTATAGCCTCCCATTTGCTGGGATTACAGGCGAGCACCACCACGCCCAGTCTCAATCACCATCTCAGCAAGCCACGGGAGCAAGGCCAGCACAGCAAGCCCCAGGTTCGAAACCCCAGGCCCTGCACCTGCCTAAGCAGGTGCTTTAATCCACTGAGCTATTTGGCCATCCCTATCCATCTTATTTTGAAATTCTGTATCATTTTTGTTGTTTTTAACTCTCTAAAATAAAAAGGTTTTGATTCAAAGAAATACGGTAAAAGAAATTTCATAAAATCATACTGCATTAGTTCCCTCCACCTGTAATAAATTATCCTAAATGTCATGGATTAAAACAGCAGAAATGTGTTCCCTACAGTTCTTAAGGCCATAGGTCTGAAATCAGTATCGTTGCACCAGTACTGGGATGTTTGCTTGGCTGCATCCCTTTGGAGATTCTAAAAGAATGTTTTTATATTATCTATTCTTATCTTCAAGGCTGGCAAGAGAGCCTAGTGGTTTAAAGTGCCTGCCCAGGCAAGCTTATGCAGGAACAGGGGACTGCGGCTTGATCCTTGGCACCACATGTAGCACCAGCCCTGCCCCCAGGGTGAGCTGAGCTGGCCAAAAAAATAAATAAATATTTTTATATTTAAATCTGTTGCTCACGTAATATAACAATCATTGTTAATTAGTTATTCCTGTTTTGAAAATCTGAAACATATGCATTGTTATATGTTATCCTGTTTCTGTCTTTTTTCTATTTGTTTATGCTTCTGTTTTTACTCTTCAAAATAAAATAACATGAAAAAAATTGTTTTTGCCCCTTCCAGCTTCATGAGACTGCCAGAACGCCTGGACAGGTGGTCATCTCACTCGAACTTTCAAGGCTAGCCTCTTCAAGTCATTCTGTGTGTTCTGTTTCATATCACTTTATTCCCTCTGTGTGTAAAACCCAGTCCCCTTCTTATAAGTGTAAACATGATGATGTTTAGGTCTCACCCAGATAATCTAGGATAATAGCCTCCTCCTCAGTTAACTCGGTCATGTCTCCAGAGATCTTTTCTCCAAACAAAGTAACATGTGTGAGTTCCAGTGATTAGTGCTTAACATCTGTGGAGAGACATATTTCAAAATACCATAAGCATTAAGTACTCCATAAAAAGAAATAACCAATTCCACCCTAGACTGATGGGGTCCAGAGATAGTGCAGAATTTATGGAAGATCAGTGGAAACCAGCTCAAGAAAAGGACTCTTTCCTGGGCTAGAAGACAAATGATATTTGTCTGAATGTTTTATCTGAATGCTTTAATTTGGGAATTAAAGTCAACATAATACATAAAAGTTTTGTCTAATTCCATTGTGAACTATATGTGTTTATTTGTACCATAGATTTAGTCAATAGTGAACAATTCTTCGTAGTCTATGGAATTCTAATTCTAAGTGAAGGTACCAATCTAAATACTTTATATGGAATAAGAAAGCTTTCGCCTTTCCATTTGAGTACATGGGAGGCCCAGGTTGATGCTCTGATGAAATAGGAGAAATAGCATGGTGTAATTGAGGAAGGAACCCTTAAAGCCAGGAGGTGGGTACTACCAAAGGAAGGGGAGAAGGTGCAATGGGCAAGTGAAAGCCACTCTACCCTGTGACCAGTGGTTGCTCTCATATACATGAAAGTTGTCTCAGATATCTGCTTCGAAACAAAATCTCAGAATGAGAAAGTGACTTGGATTGTTACAGATGCTGATATGCTTTTTCTTTAATCTGTTCCCTTTAGGTAAGTATCTAGGCTACCTGTTAAAAGTAAGGATCTAATCAAATTTCTTGTACTCAAATCATATTTCTATCAGTATTTTGTCATTTGGGACAAGTTACCCAACCTCCTTGTGTCCCATTTCCTAATTTGTGAAATAAGGGTTCTGACTGTAACCACATCATGAAATTATTTTAGATATTTTAACAAGACAAAAAACTGTATAAAATATAAAAATTAGGGCTGGGGAGATAGTTCAGTGGCACAAG